CTTCAGCCTGGCCCAAACACAGCTACTGTAGCCATTTGAGGAGAAAATCAATGGATGGAAGATCTCTTTTCCACATCCCACCAAACTCTGTATTTCCAAATTTTACACAAATAAATCTTTAAAAAGAAAAAAAAACAATATTGAAACAAACCAAGCTAAAAATCATGGAACTTAAAATTTTCTAGAAATGACAATAGAATATATTGATGTATGAAGTCAACTAGGGAATTAGTTAACAAAATTGATGATTTTTCCTGTGAAATAGAAGAAAACTCAAGATTTTAGACAAGAGAAGTATCAAGAATGATGTGACCTCATGGGCAAATCTACTACCAGCCATTTTGAACACCAATCAGCCTTGTCCACTCCAGACTTTCCTTAGAAAAAAATTGATCTTAGAGAAAAATTCTGCCTTTAAAAATGAGTCAGGGTAGGGTTTATTTTATTTATCAGAAAGACAGAGGTACAGAGAGAGGAAAACACAAGAAAAATATTTTCGATTTGCTGGTTCGCTCCTCAAGTGACTGGGACTGGGTCAGTCCAAACCCAGGAGCAAGGAACTCTATCCAGGCCTCCCTCTGGAGTGTCGGGGGCCCAAGGCCCCCTGGAAGGAGCCAGAGCCATTTTCCACTGCTTTATCAAGTGCATCAACAGGGAGCTGGATGAAAAGTGAAGCAGCTACACACCCTGATATGGGATCCCAACAACACAGAGAGCAGCCTACTCAGCTACACCGCAAACATTGGCCTCTACAGCCACTTCTTTAACTGAATCTCGGTTTTCTCATCTGAAAATTCATTAGCAGAGACTATGGGAAGTATAACTGAATGATATATAAGAAATCACCCAGGGGTTGGTGATTTCTCAGCAAAAAGCTTACTGGCCTCCACCTGCATTGCTGGCATCCCATATGGGCACTGCTTAAAGTCCTGGCTGCTGTGTTTTCCATCCAGTTTCCTGTATATGTCCTGGGGAAAGCAGCGGAGGGTTGCCTAAGACCTTAGGTCCATGCACCCACATGGGAGACCTGAAAGAATTTCCTGTCTCCTGGCTTAGGATAGGCCCAGTTCTGGGCATCACAGCTACTTGGGAAGTGAATCAGTGGATGGAAGATGCTTCTCTCTCTCTTTTGCTCTTTCATGCTCTCTCTGTCTCTCCTTTTTTCTTTGTAACTATGCATTTCAAATAAAAATAAATAAATCTTAAAAGAAAACAAAGCACCCAGCACCATTATAAAGTATATAAGAAACTCATTTTTTTAACCACTCCTACATCATTCCTACCAGATAACAGACCAGAGAGAGAGAGAGATCCTCTATCTGATGGTTCATTCACCAAATGACCACAAAGTTGGGACTGGGTCAGGTCAAAGCCAGGAGCCGGAAACTCCAACCAGATGTCCCAAGTGGGTGACAGGGGTCTAGTTACTTGGTCCATTCTCTTCCAGGAACACCAGTAGGGAGTCGGATCAGAAGCAAAGCAGCCATGACTTGAATTAGCACTCCAATATGGGATACTGACGTAGCATGGGGTGGCTCAACCCACTACGCCATAATGCAGCTCCCCAATTTGCCCTGTTGATTTACACTCCAGCCCTCCCCCCTCCACCTGGCTTCTTCTGTTATATCTTCCCTGTGTGTGCAGTGCTGCTTCAACCTTCAGGGTCCTTCCAGATGGAGGGCACATGTTTCTCCGCACCACAGCCTTTTTCCTCTTTCTCTCCCACTTTCTTTCCTCCATGTCTCCCAGGGCTGAACACCGCCTACCCTCCCTACAGCAAACAGCAACCCTCACTACTCACTATAATTATTTCTTCCACTTTTCTCTCTCCCTTACCAGACATTGAGCTTTCAGCACAAGGATCAAAGCTTTAATCTGCGTGTTTGATTTTTCACATGCCTATCACAGGCTTAGCACTGCTCCTAAGATAAATAAATACTTCTTGAGAGAATAAACAAACAGGTGATTGTCTCATTAGCAAGGCGGGTGTTCAATGGGTGTTTTTGTTCTATTCTTTCTTTTTCTTTTTTTCTGGCACATGCAATGTGAGCATAGGGAAAAGAACTTGCCTGGGCGGTGGAGGGGTGGAGGATTGCTTTCTAAATTCCCAGACTGAAAAGGAAGTGGTAATTTTGCCTCAAACAGTAAAGAAGTTGCTCATTAACTTTGAGGGTGACCCCAAACTGGAGTGCGAACTGGTCTATTAGCACAGAGGGAGGGGCCAGTCAATGGGCTCTGACCGAGTCGGATGCAGACAGGATTCACACCCGACAGCTGCCCCTGGAGTCCCTCCCTGAGCCCCTCTGTGGACTCTGTGTCTTGTGCTCTGTGAAACATCCTACCAAGAAGTCCCAGAGGCATCCAGGCCTTGCTCTACCTTGGGGCTTTGGGTTCAATCTGTCGACTCCCGTTGGCCTCCAGAGCTGGCTCCGTGGGTAGGTTGCTGCTAGGATTACAGCCCTGGTGCCAGGGGTCACTCACTGCATCACTAATTCCAGAACACTTCTGCCAAGATAACAACAACAAAAAAAATCAATGTCACATTCATGGTGATAAACCCGTGGCATTGATGGATTCCTCAGTGCCTTTTCTATCACCAGAAGTATTAAATAGTCTCAGTGTCGCTTTCCCATGATGTGGATTCTGGGATGTCCTCAGTGGTTGAACACTGTGACCCGTGTTTAAGGAATTGTACCTCTGGCCCCAGCCTTCTTAGCAGGACCTTCAAGATTCTTAACAGGATGATCCCAGATGAGTTTGTTTGTTTGTTGGTTGGTTGGTTGGTTTTTCTCCTCTGCATACTCTTTGCAGTGTGTCTTTCTGTTTCCACTGCCCAGGCCTCTACACACCTGGAGGAAGACCCCAACAGAGGGGTGCCCTTCACTCTTCAAGTCCCAAATCCCATCGCTATAACAGAACTACAGTCCCTGAAAACCCTTAGCCTCTGCTCCAGCAGTTCTACAGGAAAGCAAAGCCAAGAGAGGAGAGAGCATGAGTTTTGTGCTGTTGTAGCTCTTCGAGCAACTCTCCACATCCCAGCCCCAACCCCTGCTGCTGCCTGCTTGGCAGAAGCCATGATATCACCTCCACTGGGGGAGACAATCTGCCTTGATCCCCCAGGTAAGCTTCAGAGGCATCTCTGTGGAACCTCCCTCTTCCAGAACTTGTATTCCAACCCTGGGTTATCACCATGGGAGAAGTGAGCACAGAGGAGGAGGTGAACTGGATAAAGCCCTGGGCTCCTGTTGGGGACAGTACTGTCACAGAGCCTCTCATGCACAGGGTCTACCTTGTTACTGCCTCTCATGCATTGGGGTCTACCTCTTGGCATCTCACAAGAACTCTTTGCCATGCCCACTCCTTTCCAGCTTCCCCCGCCCCCGACACACACTGCCGGAGTGTGCAAGGCAGATGTGGAGACAGAACCGAGTCATGGCCATTTGCTTCTTATTGGAAAAGGGTGGGGGTGTCTCTGTGTGCCTCACCATTCAGACATTCTTCATGCTGCTATTTTTATCATAGTAATCATCAAATTGGTGTCAGCTGGGCTGGTCCAGTTCCTCACACTGAGGCTAGGCCAGGGGACAGAGCGGGCTGCTTCCAGGCAAGCAGAGATGTAAGCATCTCCAGAACCCCAGGCCTCAACCGTAAGCCGAGCCAGCCCTGGACTGTGTTCCCAGGGCCGGAAGCCCAAAGTACATCATCACTCTCACCTTGTGCTTGACCCGATTCATGGAACATACATATGCTGAGCACCTCTTGAGTGCCAGATACTGAACAAAATACTACAGATTGAAAAAAAAGTTATCTCTACCCCCAGAGAAGCTTACATTTTGCCAGAAAGGATTGTCATGGGAAGTTACAGGGTCTGCTGCTGGGCTGTGCAAGTTCAGGTGTGTTGATAAGAAACACAAGACGGGGAAAGCTTTGTGCTGCCTGAGCGGCAGGGATAGCTTCATGGAGATAATAACATTCATCCAGGACTTCAAAGATAAATAGACTTGCTGGATGGAAACACAGGGAAAGGTCACGCAGACCAAAGAGGCAAAGGCAGGAACATTGAAACAAGGACCGTAGATGTGTCTACAACCTGGCTGTGAACCCAGCTGTCATGGAGGGGCTCCAAGGCACGCACATGCTTGCCCAGAGCCTCACCTGAGAGACTGGGAGGAAGGGGGCCTGGTGCAAGGATGCTCCCTGCTTGCTGTGGCAGCTTACTCTCTTTTGCTCTCTCTTTCTCTCTCTCTTTTTCTCTCTCTTTGTTTCTCTCTCTCTCTCTCTCTCTCTCTCTCTATCTCTATCTCTATCTCTTTCTCTCATGCTCTAACTCCAGGTCTCAGAATCTGCACTCTGAGCCAGACCCAGCACTGAGTGTTAGCCTACATTGACAATGGCAATGCAGCACACTTAAGATAGACACACCCTGGGGAGCCCAGGGCCTTGGGGTTTCCCAGTGAGAGTCTGACTTTGCGCTAAGAACTGTGCCCCTTCACCAGCCACAGGAAACAGGGATGAATCATTATGTGGGACCAGGAGCAGACTTTCCTGGATTCTGTATCTGTCTGGATTGTCATCCTTTGAACTAAATTCCTGGTAACTCAGTGTACAATTTAACAGCAAACCAAAATGGAGCACAGCAGGAAAGTAGGGCGCAGCGTGGCCTGAAACAATGGCATAAAGTGCATTTACAGATGTGCTGGGCAGTGCTGGCCTTGCCTCTCTGGTTCTCATTTCCTCTGACCCAACATTCCAAGCCCCACCCTAGCCCCAAGTCCCGTGGTGGTGCAGGCTCAGGCCTGCAGGGCACAGTAGGTGTCACTGGAAGGTCCAGTGGCTCAGTAGCCAGCTGGAAGAGCCTGGGGCCACCTGTCTAGTCAGAAGCACTCTGCTGTGTGCTTCTCTGAGCCAAGGCTGGCTTTGTGGGTCTGAGCAGAACGACAGGGACATTCACAAGATTCCTGATGCTGTGACTGAAGGCATTTCTCTCTTTCTCCAAACAGGAATGAGAGAGGAGATGTCTCTAGGGCGCCAGGAGGCCTTTGAAACCTTCAAGAGGGATCACGCTGACAGCATCACCATCGATGACAACAAGCAGATTCTGAAGCAGAGGTAAGGCCATCTGAGGCTACAGCTGGCCTCCCCAGGCACCACCAGCCCAGCCAGAAGCAAAGTTGCTCCTCCCTCCTTCCTCATCTGCCCAGCCCAGCTGAAAGGCACGGCATTCATTCAGACTCATGTTTGAGTATGTCCAGCCCACATGGTTCTTTGATGTGTGTGAGCCCCCATCATCCCAGGTTTGTTACGGTGAGCAGCTTCTGGGGCCAGGTCTATGACTAACACCATGAACTTGACATGCAGTGGTCACATTGTAACTGACTTCTCATCAACCTGAGACTGCGACTTTCCCTCACCCCTTGTTCTGAATATGGGGGAAGGGTCTGTCAATCAAATTATTGTCTTGGAACACCAAACCCTGCACCTGTTCTTTGCTTCTTTGTTTAAAAAAAAAGATGAGCCCCAGCATGGTGGCCTAGCAGCTAAAGTCCTCATCTTCAAGCCTTCAACATGCCAGGATCCCATATGGGCACTGATTCTAATCCTGGTGGCCCTACTTCCAATCCAGCTCCCTGCTTGTGGCCTGGGAAACCAGTCAAGGATGGCCCAGGGCCTTGGAACCCTGCACCATGTGGGAGACCTGGAGGAAGTTCCTGGCTCCTGGCTTGGGATCAGCACAGCTCCAGCCATTGCGGTCACTTGGGGAGTGAATCATTGGACGGAAGATCTTCCTCTCTATCTCTCCTCTTCTTTGCATATCTGACTTTGCAATATAAATAAATACACCTTTCCATTAGAAAGGCAGATTTACAGAGACAAGGAGAGACAGAGAGAAAGATCCTCTATCCACTGGTTCACTCTCCAAATGGCCACAATGACCAGAGCTGAGCCAATCTGAAGCCAAGAACCAGGATCCTCTTCTAGGTCTCCCATGCAGGTACATGGTTCCAAGGCTTTGGGCTGTCCTCTACTGCTGTCCCAGGCCATAAACAGGGAGCTAGATTGGAAAGTGGAGCAGCTGGGATATGAATTGGCACCCATATGGGATCCTGACACATACAGGGTGACGATTTAGTCATTGAACCATTGCACCAGGTCCGAGATCCACATTTTAAAATAATTTCTACATCCATTGAAAGTCACGGTCACACCAAGGATTAAAGAATAGTTCGGCATCAGCAGGGTGTAGCCCAGAAACTGCCCGTTTTCTTAGGATTGGGGCTTTTGTTGACATTCATGGAGGTTTTTCAGTGGTTAGAGATCACGTGCTCATGACTGCTTAAGGCAGCAGAGACCAAGAGAAAATTTGGTTTCATGTGTGGACAGCTGCACAGGTTTCCCCTAATGAAGACTTTTGCAACTCTTATTTGGGGAGTGGTGTTCCAGTAACCCCGGTCCTGTCCATGCATTTGCTGCCATTCCTTCTCATGCAGGGGAGGACCCAAGTGGGACAGCCACAGGAGCCCCAGTCGGTCCTGAGCTGAGAGACCCAGACCAGAGCTCAGCTGGCATTCAGCTGCTGTTTCCTAGCTCCAGGATTCCGTCTCACCTTTCTGCATCCAGACCCCCTCGGCCTGATCTCCCATTTGATGCCTCACTGCTAATACCAAGCCATTCTGCAGTCTGACCATTCTGCTGTTATGACATCCTATTGGAAGAGGGCCACAGAAAGACACTGGAGCCAATCACCCTTACACAAAAGCCCTGGTCTAGTTCAGCCTATAGCAAGTAGGTTCTATGCCCCAGTGTCAGGATTACTAAACCCAGGGCCCCCTCCAATGTTTTCTCTCCACTCCCTTCTGGCAAGAATTAATAGGGGAATTTCAGGAGGGAACCATGAATGCTTATCCTTGTCCACCCATGAGACTTGCCACAGGGATTTCTCTTTTCCTTTTCACTTTGCACAGATTCAGTAAGCTCTGGTCCCTCCAGTCAGGCAAAGTTACTGCCTGTCTGTGACAACAGAAATAAGATGTTGGTGCACACGAATAGGATGTTTGCCCTCTGCTGTGCTTGGAGCATACAAGCCAAGTCTTAAGCAGATTTTTTTTTCCAAAACAGAGAAATTGCAATTCCAAATCACAGTATTCTCCAGGCATGACTCATGCTTGGAGTAGATAATGAATGGGAGGGAGATTGGGAAGCCCACGCTTGGCAGCTCCCTGGGCCAGCCCTGCGCAACCACCTCTCTGCTGCCACATGTCCTCCTGCGGCAGATACCCACTAAATAGCTCAACAAGAAAATAAAGAAGGAGACAACTATGCTTGGAAACAAAGGTGTGGATAAAGGGAACAGAGGCAGGAGAAGCACCCCTCGGCTCCAGACACAGAACAGAGCGGGAGCCCTGAAACCTGGAAGGCTGGAGCGAGAGTGGAGAGAAATCCCGTGCCACCATCTGGAAATGGTGCCCAGGACAAATAGCAGTTCCCTGGTTCCAATAAGACTCTGGGTTTAACCTTTGTTATTTTACCCCTCTGTTTTTTTTTTCTTTTCTTTTTTGTGTTTATTCTTTTGTGTGCTGAACTGGAATTGTTGACTTGGAGAACAGAGGTTAGGCTAGAGTCTTCTCAGCATCCCCATGGTTTTTAAAACAGAAAAAAAAAAAAAGAAGAAGAAGAAGAGGAAAGAAAGAAAAATCACCAAATGGTGCCCAGAGTACATTTTTGCTTGTTTGTTTGGGAATTTTTGAAATCGATTTAGAGCAGCCTTAGCAGCCAAGAACATGGCCTGAGAATTACCCAGAGCCTCCTAGAGGCAAGAGAGTGGGTGCCAGGCCTCCCAAAGCTGGGCAAAGCCCTGCCCAGGAGATGGACAGGCAGTCATCCCAGAGGAGGTAGAGGCAGAAAGGGGCATTCATATCAGAAGTGTAAGGCTCTTCGTTATGGTGAAGCAGAGGCAGCCAGGTACTATACTGCAGTTTGCAGGACAGGAAGTGGGTGCCTGAGATCCATTCTTCTTTCTCCCTCACAAGTTAGAAGGAGTAGGTATTTTCTGTGAATAGTCATCCTGAACAAGGAGGACACTGCAGGGGCCCCTTGCCCTCTAACAACACACTTACCCAGAGAGCCTGAAGTAGGCCCTCCAGCTGACACAAAAGTGTGAGTGCTGCAGCTGTTGGGTACCCAGCAGGCCCTGTCATGAACATCAGCCCCTCTCGTTGCCTTACAGCTTAATGCAGTCCCTAGAGAGCCGTGTGTGTGGCTCTGACCACCCTGGGGCGGAAACAGGTGCAAGCCTACCGCATCTCCTCCACCCTAGCCTCTCCCCTGCTACCCACCCCCTACCGTGGTGACAGAGGAGGCTCCATCTGCCAAGAGTAAAATGGCAGGCTCAGCTATTCCTGGAAGTCACTCAAGATTCCACCTCACCTCACCTTTCCACAACAAATGAAGTCTTGGCAGCCATGCTGAGTGTCCTTGACCAGTTTGCTGTGTGTGGTCAATGCTGCCTACAGGTAGCTCCTATCTCACAGGCCATTACACCCGCTGCCAGGCACACACACACACACACACACACACACACACACACACACAAAGCACGCCTCCATGTGCGTCCTTGCTGCATCAATACAGCCCGAAAGACATCTCATCCTCATCTAAGTGAGGTAGCTGATTCCCCACCCACGCTGCCGCCAGTGAGAAGTGGAGTGGGCCTTTGGTCCATGGCTGCTGACTGACCGCCAGTCCAATGCTCTTCTCCCATGTGTGCTGACTTTGCACACACGCTCACTCATCAGTTTATTTCCTCTTATTCTACAAATTACCTGTGAAATGCTTCCTGGCAAGGAGCCTCTGGCCTAAGTTCCAGGATGAAAAGAGTGAGTTAAACAGGGGCTGGCATCACAGTGTAGGAGCTTACGCCTCTGCCTATGACTCCCACACTTGTACCAAATGGGTACAGGTTCAGGTCCCAACTGCTCTACTCCAAATGCAGCTCCTTGGGAATGTGCCTACAAAAGCAATGGAGGATGGCACAAGTGCTTGGGCCTGTGACACTCAAGCAGGAGATGTGGATGGAGTTCCTGTTTCCTGGCTTCAGCCTAGCCCAGCCCCAACCATTATGACCATTTGGAGAATGAGCCAGTGGGTAGGAGATTGTGTGTGTGTGTGTCCTTCTCTCTCTGTAATTCTGCCTTTCAAATAAAAAGAATTCTTTTTAAAAAGTAAATTAAACAGACATGGTCACTGTCTTCATGGAGCTTATATTTTGAAGCTTTTCTTGATGTATTTGAGAGACAGAAAGAGCTCTCTTTCTCTTGCTCACTCCCAAATGTCCACAACATCCATGCCTGGGCCTGACAGCCAAATCCAGAAGTCTTGGCTTTAATCTGGGTCTCCTGTGTGGCTGGCAGAAGCACAGTCACTTTAGCCATCACTGCTGCCTCCCAGGGTCCACACAGGCAGGAAGAAGGAACCAGGACCCAGAGCTAGGAAATAAATCCAGGAACTGTGATGTGGGACATGAGCATGTTAACTGGCTTCTTCACCAGGAGGCCAAGTGCTCACCACAGAGCTTACACGGCCAAAAGGGAAATAAACCAGTCAGTCTGCAGTTCTCGTAGGGTAAGCTCTCCGTGGCGGTGGCTGCAACGGCGGGCACTACAGAGCACCAGGTTCGTCTCCCACCGCAGACTCACACAATCCTAGACAGCCATCTAGAGAAACAGTCGGCTTGGCAGAAATGGAGGGGTCAGGTAATAACGAGCCAGAGGAGGAGAGGGGCTCCAGGAGGAGACAGCAGCCCCCTGGGCGATGGAGGGTGACACCTGATGGGAGTGAAAGGCCAGAGAAAAGAATGCTGGGCTCAGGTCTGCTGTCTGTATGGTGCAGGGACATGCTTGTTTGACAAGAGTCAGGAAACTCCCACTAGGCAAGGAGAACCTTGGGGACAGGAGGAAGAGAAGGGAGTAAAGAGTGAAGGACACTTAGGCTGGGTGGGGAAGTGTGGAGGGTCAGGGTGAGCCAAGATGAGCAAGGCAAGACTGGTAGGGTCACCTCCCTCCTGACCTCTTTGCTAGCCTCCCCCTTTTCCTCATTTCTCTTGCCTCACTTTTATGTTTTCCCCCACTACCCTCCTCCCTCAGGGCTGGGCTTCTCAGAGTTTCCCTTAATGACCAGGAACACAAGCAGGCAGGGTGGCCTGGAGTGGCCACTGCTTGCCAACAGCCTCATGAAATGGCACAGCCCTCAGCCCACACCTCTCCAGCGGAAAGCCTGTTTTAGCTCTGTGCTGGGCAGCCGGGGAGAGTGTCACTGGTCCCTGCAGACTGCCCTGCCATGTATGTACCAGCTCTGGTGCAGGGTGGCTCTTTGGAGAGAGGTGTCCACACCCCTTGATACTCCACTGCCATCCGCAAAACCCCAGCAGACCCCCTGGGCAAATGTGGAAATTTCCACTGGGCAGCACTACAGAGGAATCTGCCTCTTGTGCTTGCGACGCCTGCATATTCAGGCTTCCAGCCGTCCTGCAGCCCTGCTCTCAGATTCTCTAAACCTGAACTGTATGGAGCCAACGTAGAAGAGTCGCTGAGCAGTGTGTGACTGCCCGTTCCTATGAAAGCCTAGCGGCTTGAGGGGGACAAAGTGGTGACCACACTGCTGCAGTCCTGGCCGCCCAGGAACACTGTAGGAAGGTAGCACTCACCTGCTGGATAGATTGAGCCACATCTCAGATTATGCCTGCCTAGCAGCAAAGGCCAGTGGGAGCCTGCAGAGCCAGCACAATGACCCACATTCCCCACAAGTGCTTGTTGAGCTGAATCATATTGGAATGGCCTCACACGGGAACCGAACTTCTCTCCGAAAGGTGGCAGGCCCTGGCTGAGGAAATGACACACATGGTCTAAGCTGAAGCTGAACAGCCTTCGTAAAGGAAGCCAGAGTGGCATCCCAAAAGTCTGACAGGGAGAAAATTGAGTCCCTTTCCCTGGAAACTTCCTGCCCACAGTCCCAGGCCAAGCAGACAGATTTAGAAAATGGCAGTGACGTAACTCACACTTCTGCGTCAAGTGCCGAGCAGTTGGGCACGCTGGACTTTGCAGCTCTCCTGTCTGAAACGCCCTCCTCCCTCCGTTTCCTCTTACAAAATCCTCAACACAGCCCAGCACAGCAGCCTAGTGCCTAAATCCTCATCTTGCAAGCGCCGGGATCCCATATAAGCGCTACTTCATGTCCCAGCTGCTCCACCTGACCATTCAGCTCCCTGCTTGTAGCCTGGGAAGGCAGTGGAGGATGGCCCAAAGCCCTGGGACCTGCACCTGTGCAGGAGACCCAAAGGAGGATCCTGGTTCTTGGCTTCAGATTGGCTCAGCTCTGGACCTTGAGGCCACTTGGGGAGTGAATCAGCAGACAAACCTTCCCACTGTAAATCTGCCTTTCCATTGGAAAAAAAAAAATCGATCTTTTTTTAAAAAATCCTCAACACAGCTAAAGTACCAAGTACACTAAAGTGAGGCTATGGCATCTGGGAATCAGTAAGATTTGGAATGAGCTGCAAAGAAGGGTGAGAAGTGAAATAAGGTTGAACAAGTGATGAAACACAAAAGGGATTTGTAAGACATAATTCAACCATGTATCTTGTGTCTATTTTGAGATTTCCATAACAAAAATTCCTATGCCCAAGGCTATTCTAGCTTACTTCTGAGGCTCTCCTCACTGCTCCCCACTCTTGGATCAGCCAGTCCTCCATCGTCACACTCCAATGGCATGACCCTTGTTCAAGGGATCACAGTGGCTTACTGTGGCCACCCCTTATGCATTTGCTTTCATTGACTTTCAATGGTATGTTTAATTTCACAGCAGAAAGGCAAGGCAAGGAAAGGAACTGGTATTTTGCAATACCCGCCCATGTGACATATCATACCACATGCCTGTCACATAGGCTGTGTCTTACACCTTACCACAGTACAATCCTGGCCTCATAAATGCATGTTGGATGTGAAGGAATGATGAATTACGAATCAACACAGTCTTCATGCAATCAGAAAAACACACTTCTGAAGTATGTCTTTTTTGGCTATAGCGATGTGATCTCGGCACTGTGACTGATATATCACGGTACGAAAATCTCACAGCCATGTTTTATTCTGGTACCCTTGCATCATAGAACAATAGAAAGAGGAACGCATTAGAGAGTATGAGAAAGAATATTCTATTCCAGTGCAGTAGAAGTTTGTGATACCTCTCGTTAATGTAAATTTTATCTCCATGTTTAGGCCTACCACATTTTACTTACTAAGGTTTTATCATATACCATCTCAGAAAATTTTATGCTATTATTTTTTAAAAAGATGGACAAAAAAAAGTCAAAATTTGTTCTTGTTTGTTCTTGTTTTTGTTTTTCCTCTAGATTTTCAGAAGCAAAAGCCCTAGGAGAAAGCATAAATGAAGCAAGACGCAAAATCGGTAAGCAGCTGGTATTCTGTCAATCTCTCTTGGCTGATGAACTGGTCAAGATGTGCCTGCACATGGCCCTGAAGCTTGGTTTCAGCAGAGACCCTGCCAAGGAAACTACCCTAAGTCCCTTCCCTGGGAGTTTGCCATCTCCAAGCACCCACCAGAAGAAGCAGTCTGTGATCTAGAACTTGAACTTCCCATCCTCTTGCAGGTCTGAGCTCAATAGCATCCTAAGGAGAAAGCTTCACTTTCCCCTGGTGCATGGCAGCGATAATTGCACCAAAGCCATGATGTCAGTTCGTATTTCCAAGGGATATGAAACACTTCTACACCTCCCGAAGCTTATGTTTGCTCATTCTGGCACAGGTGTGCATTTGTCAGTAGGCTTTATAAAGCCAGGGGAGGGATGAGAGGCAAAAAATGAGTCACTGTTCCTCATTGGGGCACTGTGCAAGCACTGCTCCTCGCGCTAGGTGAGCATCCTGTGAAAGGCAGGTTATAGCAAGAGGCAAATGCATGCAGTCAAAAAATAGTAATGATAACACACCTCAACCTTTGTCAAGGCAAGAGGAAAATGTCTCTGCATCCTAAGCTGAAAAACACAACAGACTTCAGGCTTGCAGCAGCCTCACCTCTGTGTTCAGAAAGGCAGCTGGCTCCCTGGGCCCATCCTCCTCTCTTTCCTTCCCCCACACACATGAGGACAGGACAGAAGACCTTGTGACGGTGAGTGCCCCTGTTGGCTTTTCCTACAGAGTATGGACAGTCACAGAAGCGTCAGCTCAGCTCAGTAAGGGAAATAGTAACCCCCACGTGCCCTTGGTACCATCAACCATAGCCTGGAACAGAAAGGACTTGGGACAACCATACCCTGAGCCATGTGCAGCAACCATCTTCCATGGGCCTTAGGGCTTCTTACCCTAAGGTCCAGAATCCTGGATGATTGGAAATATGCATATATTTTCCCTAACCTCTCATTGAAACATAGCACTGCCTTCAGTGACAATGTTGTCAGTAGGACCCTAGGGGACTGGGGACACCTGCTACCAGGCAAGCCACAGAATTTTTTTTCCTTAAAAATTTATTTGCTTTAAAATCAGAGTTACACTGAGTGGAAGAGACAGAGAGAGAGAGAGAGAGGTCTTTCATCTGCTGGTTCACTCCCCCAGATGGCCACAACAGCCAGGACCAGGGGCTTCATCCAGGTCTCATACATGAGGAGCAGGGATCCAAACATCTGGACCATCGTCAGCTGCTTTTTGAGGCACCTTAGCAAGGAACCAGGTTGCAAGTGAAGTATCTGGGACACGAACTGGCATCCATATGGGATGCCAGCATTGCAGGGGGCAGCTTTACCTACTGTGTCACTATGTTTGTCTCTCACCACAGTGAACACACAACATAAAATACCATTTGTGCTCGTTAGTACTTTAAATTTATTAGACTATTATTTATGTACATCAATTTTTTGTGTCACAAAGAATGTTTTAAATGTTGATACCTGTTTCAGTAGAATTTGTTTCCCCAAAGAGCCTACATGTTTGACTTTCTGCACCTGGGATCATTATCCTGAGTGAGTCCATAGCTTCAGCAGACTGCCAGAAGATATTTGGCACAAGTAATGATTGCAAATCCCTTTCTTGACCAAGATTCCCAACTCTCCTAAAATTTCATGAAAAAATAAAGGCATACAGAGTGTGTGCATTTTGTTATCCAAGTCTCAGTGGGGCAGGTGACCCAAAATAGTATGCAAATTAATGTCCTGCAACTACATCAGGAATTGAATTAGCAAAAGAAATCCCTCTACTTAGGGCCGCCCAGCCGCTTAGTTGGAAGGTGGCCTGCCTGGAGGGAGCTGTCTGGAAGGGCAGGGATGAGGGGAAGCAGATCATGGTGGGCTGAGGGCTCCTTTACTAGCATCATCCAAGCCTCTGGGACCCAGTTGCCTGTTTCCACCCTTGGATGGGTAAGAAAGACCTTTTATAAAGTGCTCTTGCAAAAACAAAGTTTTCCTCTTGACCATGATTTCACACTGTAAACTGAAGTGAGATGGTTCCAGCATTCATGAAGTGAGAGATAATGGAAAGCACCAATTCCCATACTAACAGACTAGTGTGCCACTCTACCTACAAGGGGTCGTTGTCACAGGTAATTATAAGCCCATGGTTGCTGCGTGGTAATGAACGTTGGGGAAATCCACTTCACCCTATTCTCGAAGCAAGATAAGTAGAAGGTTGCCCCAGAGCAGCACAGGTTGTGCCCTATCCAAAAGCCAGAGGACAGAGCAGTGAGAACTGTACTTGGCATGCACAGAAAGAACATCTGTTTGTAATTCACACACACAGGGTCCAGATCAACAGAAGGCCTGGGCAAGGAAACTTTTGTTTTTTCCAGAAACTAACAAGTAGAATTCACACCAGCATGGAGATTCAAGCTCCCGTGTGTGTGTGTGTGTGTGTGTGTGTGTGTGTGTGTTCTTCAGGAAACCGGATAGTTCAGTCAGTGCTGCTAACAAGGCCCATGTCATTCTTCACTTTACGCAAACAGGAATCTAAGACCCAGAGTTCTCAGTCCAAGGGGCTGCAGGTGAATGGTCACCTTCTGATGCCTGACCACAGAGAATAGCTTATCATCTAAACATCTCAGACAGCAAGCAAAAGTTCAGGAACTATATGGTAGAACCAGTGCAGGCAAATAAAATCTAAAAGGCAACCACAAAGGCAGCTGTTTTTGGAACGTTTATGACATTGCTGAGTGCATTATTTTCTCTCCAGAAAGAAAACTGAAATCAAATGGAATTTGCTGTCCCCCAGAAGTGCTTTGTGGAGCCTAGAAATCTGGAGGTAGTCAGAGAGGACCCAGGAGTCAGGGGTGAGACTCAGCTCTGCTCTCAGCTGTGATGCTGGACCCTGTGGACTCTGAGGCCTGGGATACCAAGGAGGCCACGTGCCATTAGCCTGCGAAGAAGACATCAGAGCCGTACTTGTGCCCTACACATCTAGCCAGCCTGTGCACTCAAAGTTTAGGATGCTCCTCTTAGGGTACTTGTTTCTTCACTGAAAGTGTGAAGCTGGAGCTGCCCCCTGACTTGCATTCTTTAAAAGTTCCTAAATGCTGTTTATTCTGTAGCAAACACATAACAGCTGGTGCTTCCATGACCTCATCAGTCCATCAAAACTTACACATTATTTCTTTTCCTTATAAGCAGCCAGCTCAACTAGGTAGATAAACGTTGGCCGTAATTTATTTGTTGTCCTTCTCTGCACACCATTTACATCAATCCTGAATGCTGAAAGAAGCAGAAATCAGAAATGGAAGAAATCACCAATTTAATCTTCCTGAAAAATAATAGGGTTCTCATTTTGCAGGAGGGCCATTTTTTATGGCATTTGCTTGTCCAATACCCAAGGGTATTAACGCTGCTTTTCATCACATGGCCTGTTTGGAACACATTTGTACACACCATCTATCATGTCTCTTAAAATGCCAGCAAGACCAAACTGTGGGACAAGTAGGCTGATGTAGAAGCAGTGGTGTAAACCAGGCATCTTTCATTTACAAGCACTCTGGTGTCAGTCTTCCTCCATCGATGATCTACCCCTGGCAGCATTGTCTCTGGCTGCAGAGGACAAGAAATGGCTTTTCTTGACCTAAAGCCGACTCCCTAGTCCTGTCCAGGAGCCAGCTGCTATGAAGGCAGGTGAAAAGTGTTTGACTGACACCTTTTGGCACCTCTCCATCCCTCCCCAAAACCCTGCAGGCCCAAATGAAAGTTGTCATCGTAGAAAACTACACAAAAGGGTTTTTCACTAGTGAGCCACTCCACCATCAATTCACTCATCGCAGGCAATATAATAAAAGTAGCTATTAATGGAAAGAACTAAACAAATACTAGAAAAACCAATAAAAGGTTGTGAAGATTCTCTTTGCCCTACTTTAAATTCAGAGAAGGACTCCAACCCATCAATTGAACAACATACTTTAAAAAAAAAAAGTTTCTCTTATGTATTTGGGATTTAGGAAAATCGTTTCTCAGTTCTGTGTCTTTGTCAATAAGATAAATAGGACTGTTTTTCATGGTTTTTTTTTTCGCTTTTGAGCACGTTCTCTGCTTAGTTTCTGTGAAACATGGTCTTTCTATTATTGTCAAGATTGTTTTTTAAGTGAAGTTTCAGGAAAGTGGTCTGGCAAATGGCCAAACTGGATTTAAAATCCATTTCTGTCCAACTTCTTTGAAAACTCTACACCGTATACACAAATTCAGATTTGCCTGATTTTAACATTTTCTTCTAATTTAAAAATTATGTTATTCCTGGGTCTTCCTCAATCTTTGTCTTCTGTCCATCATGAAATGCACCCTCACCCCCACACTACCCCCCCAAAACACGAAGCTTGAGCTAGACTCCAGCTGAGGGGCCTGAAGCATGACCCACTAGAATTAAAAGGATCCTTACAGCACAATTAGTGCTAGATCATATGGGACCTGTGTGGGAGCAAGTAGGCCCATAGCCCAGTCTGCCTTGCTCCCCATCCTGTGAACACCAGCTCAAGCTCCATGTACCTGCAGACAGATGCACCCTCTTCTGGTTTGCACAGTGGTGCCCTTGGATGTGCAGCAACTCTGGAAGGACTCAGTATCCCAGATGGATCATAACTGGCTATTTTCAGTGGTTTGAAACAAGAGCACTGAACAGTTGTAGTTTCCGCCTCTGAAGCAATCCAACTGACCAGATTTCCTGAGAGAACTCAGACCATAAACTCCAATGGGATTCAGTGGAAAGAGATGTGGTGAAGAATTCCTGTCTAGGCACCTAAACCAGCACCTACCAGGACTCAAGAAGTCCCATCAAAAACTGGCATCAGAGGTCATCAAGGACAAGAAATAAAAACATGCCACCATCAAATGAAGAGTGGGAAAAGCAAAGCCAAGGTCTTGTCCTCCTGCTGCATGCGCCCAGCACCTCCTTGCCTGCACTGTGTTGTGTTTCCTCACACCTTCTGCTACAAGG